GCAATCAGGTTGGTCTGACATGATCTCCCCCTAATAAATCCATGCTGATTGCCCCTGAGCATCATTTCTGATGCCGGCCCCTCACAAATGTGCTCCTTGATGATCTTCTCAAAGAGTTTCCCCAGGATTGAGGTAAGACTGACGGGCCTATAGTTACCCGGGTCCTCCCTCTTCCCCTTCTTGAAGATGGGGACCACATTTGCTACCTTCCATAGATCTGAACAGCTTTTAGGAAGACGCAGTTGGGAGAGGGGGAAAAGGACATAAATAGATCTGATTTTGGGAGGTGCTTTGAACCAAGACACAACTTGGCCCTTTCCAAACCAGCAAGGAGGTAGGCCAGTTATGACAGTACAGTCAACTGTCATCATTCCAATGCTCTGATTTCAGTCATAAATGGTCATTAAACCTGCATTAACATCCATTCCACACAACAAAGCAATTGTCTGCACAGCAGAAATGAGGTCATTGTACAGAAGATAATATCCTTCCAGCTCCACCAATCCCATGTTTCACAGTCGCTTGTGGGGTAAGGCACAGCACATCACCAGCTGAGCCAAGATCTTTGTTGTCAATTATTAAAAAGAAAATTAGCAATAACTCAAGCCAAAAATGCCAGCTGGTCTGTGGTGCATAAGACACTAGAACCTCCCCTATGCATACAAAATACAATCACCTGCACTGTGAAGGCAGCACCTGGAGACTACTGAAATCAGACTCAAGCCCTGAACAAATGTTATATTTGGCCTGTGTGAGCTCTACCAGAAGGTCCCATACAACAGCAAATCCACACCAGGGGAGATGGTGGTAACCCAAGGTGCCCTTCAAGAGTCCAACAGACGGTTGATACAAATTTGTAAAATAGACAGCACTGGGTGTACAGGGGATGGTTTCACGGCAGAAGATGGCTTTGAGCATTCACTGACTTGCTTGCCTGTCCACTGGCTGGGCCTCAACTGAAGAAAAGCTGTTAATGGATGGTGCAAAATAACACCAACCAAAATTAAACAGTCTGTATACAAACACCAAGATAAACTATGCAGGAATGCTCCAGAGCAGCATTCCTTTTCAAATCGTTGCCCATTCACCTAGTTTCTGTGCAGGTCTCTCTCACCTCTGTTATTATCTCCATTTTTCCTAATGTAAACACCGCCTTCTCAAAAACAGGTGGCAGACAACTAACGAAGAGAGTGCTGAGGGAGCTCTACAAAATTAACCTTCTTTTGCACTTATTTTTAAACCTACAAGTCATTTCCCTTTCCTTCCTTCAGTAATATGGCTTGAATTGAAGCGGCCCAAGTAGCAAGCTGTGTCTATCTTTGGTTCAGCCACTCCTTGAGCTGTCAGCTGAAAAGCAGTAAAGTAGCAATAAAAGGTGTCTACAGAAATTAGGGTTGTTTTCTCGCCATCTTAAAACACCACGCTCATGCACAAATTGCTGCCCTATGACAGGTTCAACAGCCAGAATCTCTATGCCCAAAAGATACATTAAAAATCTCTATCTTCCTCTCGATACCTGGAGCATTTCTTTATTTATTTTAAACTTACAAGGGTTCAAGCTGAGTGTCTTGCTGTAAAACTAATGATTTTAAAGACTGTATTGGAAAGACACAAGTTATCAAGTGGCCTGTCTGATTTCCATGAAAGTACAGCTGTAGCTTAGTTTTTAAATACAAAGAAATAGGTAACCTTTTTAGGCTGGTACTTTGTATCTCAGGTGCAATCTTGGGAGAGTCGCAAACAGACCTGTGCCATACATTTCCATCATCTTTTATGGGTTTGAAAATCTGTATCCATTCCAGATCTGTTACTGGCTCACACCAGGTAGCTTTATCTACATCAGAGTTTGTATGATAGCAGCCAGATTCAAACATGTCCACTGTACTAAGAGACTCGTTGCTTTTTGAGCCACATGAAATTCCAGCTGTATCTTTCTGACCTTTACATTCAAAATCAGTTTTGTCAGATTTGCTGGCATGCTGGGTCAAAGCACTTAAAGAAACCAAACAGGAACTCAAGTCAAGCCAGTGCTCATGTACAGGTAGACGGGCCTCAAAGGTTTGCTGGTTTCCTCTAAAAAACCTATCTTGTGAAGTATGAAGTTTGTCCTTGCTTCTCCCTGGCCTTGTACTGTCGGTGCCGGACACAGTTCTGCTCTCTGGCTCATCACTCCTAGATGAAGTATCCTGCTTTTCCTCCTCCTCCACAAACAGAGCTTTCTGCCTCTCTAATAAGCCTTTCTGAAGGCTATGTAAGCTTGCTGAGATACTTTCTTCTATGGCTGACACATCCACCACCTTTTCTGGTCGGCACACATTACAGATGGTTCTTAGCCTGCTTTTCTGTGCCTCTGTAGTTCTGTATTCCTTAGGCATCTTCTGAGTCAGGCCCTCACTCCTAACTGTCTCCTCCTCGTAGTTACTTTCGAGGTCTGCTGATAATGGTCTGCTACAATGGCATGATGAAGAACTCAAGTCACAACAATGCATTTAATAATTCAGATGAATTGCACTTGGTCTAACACACAGTTTGGATACAGGCTGAAGCCACAGTCCTGTGGCACATAGCACACAAGCAGAGAACTACACCTAACCAAAGCCCCTGTGAAGTCAGCATAGCTGTAGTTGTCCAGCCGCACATTACACTTCACAGGATAGGTTCTCAAGACTTTTGGTATTTTAGAACTGTAGAAATTACAAAAAACTGGAAACTTTGATTTTAAAATATAAAGAAGTAATTCATACCAAAATGCTGTTCCCTGAATTCCCTCACTGTTTCTGAGTAAACTATAAAGAGCTAAAAGCATGTGGCCAAGCACAGTTTAAGGAACATCCAGCCTGAAGACCAAAGTGATTTTCTAAAGTGGAATATCATAGTTTCTTGAACAGCTGAAAATTTAACTGACTTCTTTTTTCAAGAAATATTTATGTCCTATATGTCTTACAGGCACTCAAGAAAAAGCTAAGGCATCCATTGGGATTGGAGTCGTTAAATAAATAATAAAATATAAAACAGGACGATTAAACATTGGCAAAGAGACGACTCAAAGGACTTATTTACCCAGCTGGGCAGCTTATTTTACTAAACACATTTGTGATTACATGATTTTTTAAGTTTATTCTCATGCTCTTTTCTATAAATAAGACGTTATGATAGCATTTCTCTCTGACAAAGCAGTTATGCTGTGCAAGTTCCATTCTTTTGTTTTATTTTGACTTATAGGCATTACATGCATCGGTCTCTTAACCAAAGAAGACAACTATTGGATAAACTGATTTACATTTAGTGCCTCAGAGTCCAGAGATGCTCTTTTCACATCGGTCCATAAGCTCTGAAGTATTGTACAGTTACTTGGTAGAAGGCTAAACATGACCCAATGGATGGTTCCTCTCCTCAAAACACACAACAGACATGGTCTGCAGGTTACGTTGCCAAGCTTACCTTGTTTCACATGCCTCTCTCTCATGTTTCTGCCTTAATTCCTGTGAACTCTCCAAGTTGAAATGAAGAAACTGCAAATCATGCTGCTGCTTTACATAGATCTAGATTCAGATAGTGATAAAACAATTAAACTTGGACGGGCAAAGAATTTTTTACATCTTATATTAACAACCTGCTTTTCATCCCAAATTATTTCCAAAACATTTCATAAGCCAATACTGATAGTCAAACTATGAGCCAGATTTTGCAAGGGGAAAAAAAAAAAAAAAAAAAAGGATCAGCTCCATACAAGAATTATTTTTCCCGTATGTCAATGACACAAATCTCCAATGCTGAAAAAACACAGTACCTCTATAGCAAGACATGGCAACAATACACACCATTATAGGGTGAGAACTGAAAATCATATCCAACTAACGGGCAAAACATATTGACAGTGAAACAAAAAAGTTACCAGACACACACCACAACTACCACCACTCCACTTTCCAAAAGTACACAGGATCATCCAGTGATTGCAAATGGGGAAGACATTGGTTTTGCATACCAGCAGAAAAACAGCATCACTTGCAGTGCAATACCACTTGATTCCCACATGAGTTCACTCAGCACCTCTGAAGACAAAACCCCTAATTCTTTTTTTATTTGAATTCCACAAATCATGATAAAGGTCCTTTTCCAAAATAATTTTGGTAAACATTTGGTAAACTGTTTATTTTAACTCATGGTCCCATGATAGATCCAAATCCTGTTAAGTCTCATGCGAGCATCCCACTTTATGGGCTCTGAAAGGAACCTCACAGTGCGGGAAGCTAACCACATATCTCTATGCAGGGCTTGCACTTCATTCATTATGGCAATGAATACACATAAATCAGTGCTTTAGTTATCATGGTTAAGGTGAAAAAAAATGGATTCACACCTTAAGTTCCTGGTTGCAACAGATAAGCAGCACAAATTTTATAGTGATTTATAATGAACAAGATCAGGTGAACTGCTTGTTCTCTTGACCAATCATGCAATTCTATGAAGAGGTAAATGTTGGTTAAAACTAACTACCATCAATAGAGAAATGCAATGAGAATTGTACCTGCCGCAAACTGGACAGCTCTGTATCGGTCCGTACTTGTTTGGACTTGGCAAACTGAAGAAGCTGATCCTTCCTGTTTGCTTTCTCAACTGTTTAAAAAAATGTAAGAAACGCAATTATTTCCCCACTAGAAATCAAAGTCAGTAACTGAAAACTGCCAAGGGAGATCTCAGACACACTATTCTCTTAGGAGCAATGCCATGTTTTTGCCTAAGAGAGCTCTTTTTATAGCTTGTGGAGCAACTAAACAGAATGTTAAGTGATGACTTCTCACTTACAACACGCATCTCACTTCACAAAGTTTCTAGCACTATTTTTGAGATGCATTTCTTTCTGTCATCACTGACTGGATCATTTTTCTCTTCAGGTGATCGTATTCATATATGAAAAGGAAACTCAGTAATCGTTTCCACTCTTGTGTGTGTCAGGGAAATGCACAATATTTCTCTTTGTAAATAGAAATGCTCACCGCTAAGCATTAGCTCATTCTTCAGGTAGCCATTCTCCTGTTTGAGGCGTATGATTTCTTCCCGCTGCTCATTATTTTCTTTCGTTTTCTCACTGAGGTCCTCTTTAAAATAAAAGAGGGTGCTTCTGAGCGAAAAGAAACCATTCAGATATAGGGCAAGTAAGATATCATATAGAACACTTACCTTTCAATTTACTCATTTCCAACATCAGTTCTTTCAGGCTCAGCTTGAAATCCTGCTTTTCTTTGTTGATACTAGATTCCTTTGCCTTTGCTGCACGCAATGCATTCTCCAGCTTTTTAAATTTGGATGTAAATTCAGCAATGTAATTGCCTGCTTCAAGTATATCTTTGTCCTAAAACATGAAAATAGAGTATGCTTTTTCATCTTCATTTCTAGGTCTTGCCATTTTGTCAGGTAGATGCAGCAGCGACGGCAAGTCACTATACCAACCCCTGTACAATAATCTGACAACTCTTGACAATCAAAACCAAGTGTGTTTAGAAAGGTACACAACCCCTTATGAAAATATTAGTTTCTAGCTTGTTCAAGATTTTGCATATTCATTTAAATTTTCCCTCCAACAACCTGATTAACACTGATCTATACAGCAGTCACCAATACTAACACTGCACCTTCACACAGATATGTTGGGTATGCAGTGAGAAGACACAAGAGAAGCATTACCTTTAGCTTTAGCATAGTAACAAGCTCCTGTTCTCTAGCCTGTAACTGGCCAATTTTAGCTGACAGCTCCAATACTGAGCAGTTGAGGCTCTGATTTTTCTCCTAGCAAACAGAAAGAAAACAGTTATCATTTAGGTATATTTGGTAGTACAAACACTTCGGCAAGTAAAGAACATGCTGTTTCTTTCCCCTGTAAATATACGCGTAACTCCAATTCTATGTCAAGAGAGCAACAATGTGGCCCAGTGAGCAGAAAGCAGGGACTAGGAGGCAGAAGCTCCTTATTTCTAAGCTTGCTTATTCCTCAGATCACAGTGCAACCTCTGGCGAGATGCACCACGTTTTTCACCAGTAAGATGTGAAAGATTGTCTCAAGAATTAATAAAATGCTTTGATAACGTGTATTGCTACTTAAATAGGAAAAAGTTCCAGAGGGAAAAACAGAATTCTTTTGGAAGTGAATCTCTAGTGGTAATACAGACCACTTTCAAAAAATACAAAGCAAAACAAAATGGCCCACATCACATTTTCCTAGACCTTGAAGCACTGAGTAGGAGTCCATTTCAAGAAAGGAACCAGAAAGGAGATAAAAAACACACTAGTGGCAGCTATGTACCTGGTATTCACCATGCAACTAACTGACTGCTTTCCCACTGTTTCCTATGGTCAGCTGCATAGAAAAGGGGACAGAGTCAGAATGCCTGGTTACCTTTCCCAACCCTTCAAAATGGTAATATTCAAGTCTCTTAACAGCTCCATGCCTTGGTTTACTTATCTACAAGATAGGTAGAATATTACTTACTCACTGACTCAGACAGCTTGTGTGCCTTTAAGGTTTGTAAAGCACTGAGATCTCCAAATAAAAGGATGCTTCAGAAAATGTGGTTTTTGTAAGAACTGGTATAAAAACAATAGGACTTACTTCCAAAAGTGTCCTATTCCCATTAACGGTGCGTGCCCGATGTCTGGGAGGGCACGGCTGTGCCAGCAGTGGCGGGAGCCTGGCGGCAGTGAGCGGAGAGCTCCCACAGATCCTGCCCACACTGTCAGTAGTGGGGGGAGGGGGTGGTGAGCGCCAACCACAGGTCGGTGACCATCCGCAGGCCAGGGGCGATCAGGGACTGCCTGCAGAGGCTGCTGCCAGCGGGTTGGCCTTTTTGCAGGGGGTGCACGTGCACCTGCAGGCATCCCGTAACACGTCGCCCCTGCCTATTCCCCCCCATAACATATTCCAATGTAAGCAGTGATACACATTGTCAAAGCTATTTATTGATTCTTAGTTTTATATGCTACAGTAGTAAAAAACTTCAACATAGAGACCCAAATCTGCAGATTTTATAGGGAAACTACTCAGTGATGTCTGTATCTTATGCACACGTAAGCACTGGGGAGACCTACCTATGAATCGAGACCTACCTCCAGGACCTGACAATGAAGTGTTGTATCTGCCGCTTTTTGAGACAACTCTTTAAGCTTCTGTTGAGTGCTTTCAAGAGTTGTCCTTCGGTCATTCTGCTGAGATTCTAAGAACTTTAATCTTTTAGTTAGTGTTCTTATCATCTCGTTTCTCTTGAGCAGTTCATCTGCAAAAACAAAGAGGGGGGAAGAATCAGGTATTTGAAGTCAGCAAATAGCTATATACTAATTTCACACACACCTTCAAAAAGGCAGAAGTATTTTAACCCAGTGTTTAAGGTAAGAGACTTAATTTTAAAAGTGGATGCATGGTTTGCATAATCCGGAGGCAGACATATGAATTTTTACCTGACATGTTTCTTCCCTACTTAGCTGTACAGACTTGAGTTTGGAAAGAGTTACTAGTACCAATACAACTGGACAGCAGATTCTACTAAGAAAGAACAGTTATATTTCCCTATAACAGAAAGTTAAATAGTAACAGGCAAGAGTCTCTTAAAAGTGCAAAGCACCTGAAGTTACTAAATCAAATAATCTGCTAGCTCTGTGCAGCTCCCTCCCTCCCTCTCTGTCATTCTAGTATTTTTACTATTTCCATGGTAATCTAGCACGGATGGAATTCTTTCTGTTGTGACCTACTACTTGAGTGTGGCTGAGGACAGAGATTTTCTGGTGCCTCGCTATTACTGGATGCCAGTGCCTTTCTGATGTCATAGGTGTGTTCCAGCTCCAGATGGCATGGAGTACTCTGTGATGTTCATGAACAGTTTTTTCTTGCAAATCTTATGACAATTTGCAAAATTACAAGTTTCTAGGTGAGCAGGCATTGAGACGTCAGAATGTAATTTTAGGATGGAAAAGAATCTATCCAAATATCCGTTCCATCTCTGCCAATTCACGATGAGATCTGTTTAACACTTCTGAGGAGCTGCGGTTTCAGGAAGGATACTGGGCCCTATAATTTAGAAGAAAATAAAACCATCCTTCCAGTGCTGTAACACTATTACAGACGAGGCTCTGCACTCCACTTATGGGACTGGAGCCTTACTCTGTACGGCACTTACTTTCTAACAGGCTACACCTTTCTGCCAATGTTAGTATTTTCTGGCGATCATCCTCCCAAGCTAACAGCTGTCTCTGATGCACTACAACCATGTCATTGAGCTCCTTATCGCGATCTTTCAGTTCTGCAATTAATAGCTGGAGTTCTTGCCTCTGCTTTTGAATGGTGCTGCTCTCAAGATTTTGACTAAGATCCTGCAGAAAGAAAACAGCTCTGTCATATTCAAGAAATAGGAAAGGAATCATTGAACTATGCAATGAACATGATGGGTCTTTATGCAATGCTGTGTACTCTCACTTGTATTTTTTTTTAAATAAACTGAAATCACACAGAGTAAACATGAGTAATAAATCCAAGGACAGCACTACAGTTTTCCTAAATGTCAGGATAAAAATCAGAAAGAAACTACTTGGATACAGACCAAGTTAAGCCAACAGTATAAATATCAAAGCTAAACAGTAAGTCACTTAGAGCAGGCAGATTGACAAATCCCAATGTTAAAGAACAAAGTGCGGGTAACTTGTCCAACCAACTCCACAAGTGACCTGAAATTACTCCGTCTCCCCCTCGCCTGAAACAAGATGCTCTTGTCAAGTTCTGAAACAGATCACCCCAGAAATATCTTTCACGTTTTGGTAAGTATGACAATGGCAGTCAAGAGTCAAAAAAAGACTCAATGGAAATAAAGATCAGCTGCTTCCAAAACCCACTGAACTATCTAGTGATGAATAATACGAGAACTCAAAGCCCAGCTTGGACGCCGGTTCTGGGCAACGCTTTGATCCTGCAAACAGTTAAACATCCCTTCGATTTTGTTCACTTTATCGAAGCTCGCCACGTGTCTCCAGGAGGAAACTGCACAAGATTTGCGTCACATCTGAAATTTACAGAACCGACTGGCAGATATTCAGCGTTTCAGACGCTCACCGGTTTCAAGGACACGACAAACGCTAGAGAAGAGCATCTATTTATTTTTCAACAATGACGTATAAAATCGGAAAGGGGATTTATCATTTTATCTGTCGTTGCCTCACGACTTGAAGCAGCGCGGTTGCCTCAATCCTCCCAATTCCCGCTTAATATTTTAACGTGAGGTTTGTGTGGGCTTATTTTCGGGGGGTTTTACCTGGGATGACGCAGCAGGCGGAAGCGATGGATTCATAAGCGTTCAGCAAGCAGGTTCCCGTCAGGTACTCGCGTATTTTGGGAACGGTAGTCGTTAGCTCGGGATCGGGGTCACTCGATGGGCGGTGGTCTTTGCAGACATTGCTGGAAACGAAGATGTGACAAATTAGTCACGAGCGGGGCCCCCTTGTCGCACGTCAGTCACGCCCCCGTTTCATCCCGTCCCACGCCACGCTCTCGGATGAGGAGTGCCGTGTCCCTCGCCCTCCCTTTCAACACCTTGTGGGGTGGGGGGTCTACAACTCCCAGTCAGGAAACCTCAGCTAAAGAGATGCGGAAGCGCAGGCTGGACACAGCACATCGCCATGACAGCGCGGCGCCTCCTCCCCACGGAACCGTATCGAGTGCGTGAAACGCGCGCAGCGAGCGGGCAAGTCCAAGGGGTGCTTGTCACAACATCATGGCTGCACTTCAGGAGGGAGCTCGGCCCCGCAGCTCCGCCCGCAAGTGCCCGACACCGCCTGCCGCATCCCGCCCACGGGCCCGCCGCCTGGAGGCGCTGGCCACGCCCCG